AGCTGTGTCCGTTGTCTCCTTGGCTGAATTTCGGAAGCTGTTCCCAAGAAAGCAGCTACAACCTACAACGCTGACACTTCGCACGTATACAGGAGACTTTGTGAAGCCGAAGGGTCGGGCCTTGGTCTTTGTGCAGCACAACGACCAAAGTAAGGAGCTTCCACTGTACGTCGTCGAAACCAAGGGACCGGCATTGCTTGGCAGAGAATGGCTGCGAGAAATTCGGCTAGACTGGAAGAACCTGGTCACTGTCACAAGGCTCGATACGTCGGAGAGTCTCAAACAAAAGTTGGACGCCTTGTTGGAGAACCACAGCGACCTGTTCAAAGATGAGCTTGGCACCATTTCTGGAGAACAAGCCGAACTTTTTCTTCGTGAAGGTTCAAAGCCGAAGTTTCTGAAGGCTAGAAGCATTCCATTCGCACTGCAAGCACCAGTCGAGACAGAATTGGCAAAAATGGAAAAGTTGGGAGTCATCACGCCCGTGGCTACCAGCGAGTATGCGACACCCCTTGTACCTGTAGTAAAAAAGGATGGCAGTATACGCCTCTGCGGATATTTCATGGCTACGCTCAATCCCTGCCTGGAGGTGGACAGGTACCCCATACCACGTATTGATGAGCTGTTGGCGGCCTTAGCTGGCGGACAAGAATTCTCAAAGATCGACCTCAGCAGGGCTTACCAACAGGTGGTTATGGCGGACAACTCAAAAAAGTTGCTAAAGCTGAACACGCACAAAGGGCTGTACGCCATGAACCGTATTGCTTTTGGCATCTCATCAGCATCAGGCATCTTCCAGAGGATAATGGATAATATGCTGAAGGGCCTGAAGGGTGTCAGCTGCTATCTCGATGACATCCTGATCACCGGAAAGTCGAAGCAAGAACACCTCAGCAATCTCGAAGCCGTCTTGTCGAGATTACAAGAACGTGGTGTGCGAGTGCGGCGTGACAAGTGCTCGTTTTTTCAGCACGAACTACGTTATCTCGGCCACGTCATCAACGCTGAAGGTGTTTGCGCATCCCCTGAGAAAGTGTCTGCACTACTGAATGCTCCTGCTCCGAAAAACAAGCAGCAACTGCAGTCGTTCCTTGGGATGGTGAACTACTACGGAAAGTTCGTTCCGCAACTTTCTACGCTGGCACACCCCTTGTACAAGATGCTGAGACAAGGAGAAGAATGGACGTGGGACGAAGTTTGCCAGTCCGCTTTTCAGAAAATCAAAGCTGCGATGACTTCCCCACCGATCTTAGTTCATTATGATCCCAAAAGACCCCTGCAGCTCGCCTGTGACGCATCGCAATACGGCATAGGCGCCGTTCTTTCTCAAGTTTCTCCGGGCGGAAAAGTTCAACCTGTGGCTTACGCGTCTCGTACCTTATCGGAGGCTGAAAAGAACTACAGTCAGATTGAGAAAGAAGCACTGGCTCTGATCTTTGGAGTTAAAAAATTCCACGTGCATATTTACAGCCGTTTCTTCACCTTGATTACAGACCATAAGCCTTTGCAAACCATTTTCAGCCCGAAAACAGGTATTCCAGCAATGGCTGCTGCACGGATGCAGCGCTGGGCAGTGACGCTGTCTACGTACAGCTACTCGCTCCAGTTCAAGAAATCAAGTGACAACACTGAAGCAGACTGCTTGTCAAGATTGCCACTTGACATTGTGGCAGATGAATCTACCGAAGAAAACGAAACTTTCTATTCTCTGCGTCTAGATACGCTACCTGTCACCAGCCGTGACATTGCTCGTGCCACACGCCACGACCCTTTGTTAAGCAAAATACTCGACTTGACACACGTGGGCTGGCCATCGTCCATCACTGACAAGGAAATGAAGCCTTTCTTTGACAGACGTCTGGAGCTCACTGTGCATCAAGGGTGTCTGATGTATGGCATGCGGGTAGTCGTACCACCAAAACTGCGCAATCTCCTGCTTGAAGAGATACATCTGGGTCATCCAGGTATTGTCAGAAGCAAGGAATTAGCCAGGAGCTACATCTGGTGGCCTTCAATTGACAATGACCTGGAAGATCAAGTGAAAGCATGTCAAGAATGCTATCAACAGCGGAACGAGCCAGTCCCCGCGCCCCTCCACCCTTGGGCATGGCCGACATCGCCCTGGCAAAGGGTGCATTTGGATTTCGCGGGTCCAGTCAAGGGGAAGATGTTTTTGGTCGCCGTAGATGCTCACTCAAAGTGGCCCGAGGTCTATGTGATGCAGAAGACGACATCACAGCACACGATCCAACGTCTTCAGGACTTGTTTTGTCGTTTTGGTGTACCTGAGGCCATTGTTACGGACAACGGTCCTCAGTTCGTCTCAACAGAATTCAAGTCTTTTATTAAGAATCTAGGAGGCCGTCACATCTTGAGCGCGGCCTATCACCCGAGTACTAATGGCCTCGCGGAGAGGTTTGTCCAGACATTGAAGTCTGCTCTCCGAAAAGGACGACCGCAAGACTCCCTGGAGTTGACGGTACAAACGTTTCTTCTGACGTACCGCAATACCCCTCACACGACGACAAAAGAAACACCTGCCAGTTTGTTCTTAGGCAGAAGACTTCGCACAAGACTCGATGCCATTAAGCCTTCCGTTGGGGGAAGAGTAGGACATCAACAGTTCGTCCAGACCTCGCAGCGAAAGGCGCGAACAAGGATTTTTAGTGTGAACGACAATGTTCTCGTGAGGAACTATAGAGGCTCCCAGAAGTGGATTCCCGGCACAATTCTGAAGCAATCTGGCCCAGTGTCGTTCCAGGTTCGAGTCACGACTGCTCGGGGCATATATATCTGGCGCCGTCACCAAGACCAGATGCTTCATCATCGTGAAAACTCGATGCAAGCCACATCAGACGGATTCCTGCCCGACCTGAGGGATCCAGAGAACTGCGTCGACGAGCCTGTGGTCAGTGAGTTTGCAACCACCCCACAGAGGGCAACCGACAGTCCCGCTGTGCAACAGCGCTACCCCACAAGACATCGTCGTCCTCCAGACAGATACGACGCATAACGTTTTTGGCATTCTGTGCAGTGTGTGTTTTCCTTTGGTTTCTTCAATTACGCCGGGGGAAATGTTATATCTGTGGCAGTGCTCGTGCCTTGACGTGCAGCGTGCGCGCGAGACTATCGCGTGAACTGACCGACTGCCTACCCGAGCGACAGCATGCAGCCGTGTTCTAACCGGGCTGATTTCTGTAACCCGTTTTTCTTGTAAATACACCACAGAAAGTGATTTAGATAGTCCAAAAAACCCCAAAATTTTAACGAGCCCCCCCACTGCAACAACACTGCTACGAGGCGCGGGGAGCGAACAGACACGAGGCAGGAGAGGTCGAGTAACTGTAGGATTAGCTCCGAATAGTGGCGTTTCTTTGTATTCCGAAGCTCAAGGAGACTTGACGCATTTGAAGAAAGGGCTTGTCCTCGCTTCTCTCCAATGTAGGAATTCTTGCCCACTACAGGAGGTGCACACACTGCTCCTTTTACGGTGCAGGCGATAGAACCCCTAACAACGACGCTCACGCCGGATGGGCTGCTCGTGTATCGCTCGAAGCGCGTTAACCCACCCCCGCGCCTGCGTTCACGCCGCTTCGCGGTGACGGTGTGCGGCTGCTAATTACAAATCTATTAACCCCCCTAGCCCCCCCACCCCCCGTACACGCCGCTTTGCGGCGTCCGGTCGGCAACCCAAGCCCCGCTGCCCCCCATGCACTTCCGTAAATAGAGTCGATACGATTTAGTTTAGCGATGTTTCGTCAACAACATTCGTTTTTTTAGTGTTAATGGTAAAAAAGAAATGTAAATATCGCCAAATGCCTCGACAAAACAAAATGTTCGAGAAAAAAAATAAAAAAGAAGTAAGCCGGCCCACGCCATAAATAGAACCCGGGTCTGACACGTATGAGGCAGACATCTCACCACTAAGTTACGCTACCTCTTCGGAAACTCGCATTGCATCCGCTGCCTATGTTGACGGCGGCAGCGCCTATCTCCAAGCAAGCAAGCAAAACTTTATTTTGTGTAAGGGCCTACGTCCTGGTCTGGACTGCCCGTCCGGCCCATGTCTCGCGGATGGATTCCGTAAGGTTACCGTGTAGCCTTGTTCGTGGAGCAAGGCTTTACGAACCAGCCAATCCGGCGTGCGTGAGCACCGTTGCTAGGGTTTGTATCGCCTGCGCGTTAAAAATATGCCCGCGCGGGTCGGGGGGCAGTGCCCAATTGGTATTCCTTGGGCGCCGCCGGCCTCTGTCTGCTCTGCCCAGTGGCGGCCGTTTCAGGGGGGGCAAAACGCATGCCCTGCCCCCCCACTCTGAGAACTGGGGGGGCAAGTGCCCCCCTTGCCCCCCCGGTTGGTACGCCCATGAGTGCATGTTCCATCATTGAGGACCCCCATGTTCCAATAGCTGAAAATGTCTTCTAGGAGTCTTCCTCTCGCATCAAGTTTATCTCCGCCCCACAGCGGGTTGTGTGCGTTGACATCGCCACAAAGAAGAAAAGGTCCATCAATTTCCTGCAGCACGGCCTGAATTTCCTCGCCAAAGAAATGCACTCTTGGCGGAATGTAGATCGCGATGATTGTGAAGGATATGTTTTTGTACTGAAGCTTGAGACACACGTAATCGGCTGTAGTGTGAAGGGAGACTTCTATCCTGGCAGCTGAAATGTCTGTGCGCACACACACGGTGATACGACTTTTTTCCCGATCAGGAACGGAATGATGGCACTCGTATCCGGAGATGCGGAGCGTTGAAGATGCATTTGATTCGATAAAGATCGCAATGGGCGTTTCATACTTTCGTACAAAGTCCCGTATATCAGGCAGTTTGTTTCGTAGGCCGCGCACGTTCCACTGGAGCACAGTGCATTCGCGGTATATTTGATGCATAAAAAGTTCTTCTACAGAGTCTAGACGTCGTTCACTGGCGTGCTCTTGAAGTACGATACCTGTGGTGCTCGTTGCGTGTGCTGTAGGTAACTCATTTGTGGAAGTTTGATGCCTAGCAAGCTCCATCGCAGAGCCATTGCTGAACCAGTGTGATTATTTGGAGAATCGCTCGCACCACAGGAGAGTCAAACGGCTTCAGAAGTTCCGTGACCACTGGCATTACAGTTCGTGCAAGGGTTCCCAGTGAGGATATCAGGCTGGGCTGTTCGTTGCCGGTCGCGCTTCGGGAGGTTTTACGGTTGCTGGTTGGCTGTGATTGTGCTTGAGCAGAGGCAGTGCGGAGCGCATGACTGTATGAATTCCGCTGTGCTGTGCGCTGCGATGAATGTTGGGATGTGCCTTGCTCTCTAATGCTATTTGGAGGCTCCACGTGCTGTTCTCTCGATGCACCTTGTTCCCGAGAGACTGATTCAGGGTTTGGTGATGCACGCCGTGCAGGGTGCGAATTCCGTGTTTCACTCTGTGATGCGTTGTTCTGCTCGGGGTGGAGGTCCTGCGTCTCATCATAAAGGTCACTGAAACGGTTCTGAAGAACGTTCAAGTTGTCGTGTTCGATGTTGCGCTGGCCGCGGCTTCGGACGGCAGCTCGGGCAGTTTTGAAGTCTACTTTGTTAATTGTTTTGTACTTGTTTACGGCTCGTTCTTGTTGCCAGATCACACAGTCTTTCGAGGTTGCCTCATGTGCGCCCTTGCAGTTCACGCACTTGGCCCTTTCGGCTTCGCATCTTTCGCTCGCGTGGGAGCCAGAGCATCTGGTGCACACCTCGGGGCGAGTGCAAACTGCCTTGACGTGTCCAAACTTGCCACACTTCCTGCACTGCGCTGGTCGATCAACGTATAGTTTGACCTTATGTCGTACTCTGCCCAGAAATACGTGTTCCGGTAGGGTCGCAGAAACGAAAGTGACGCGAACCGTTTCCGTGTCAGCAAAAGGACGCACCTGCGTGATTTTCGTCATGTTCGCGCTTAGGTTCCGAAGCAACACTTTCTCCGAGATGCTTGCGTCAACGTCCCGAATAATGCCCACAGCAGTGTTCGGATTCCGAGGCTCGTATGCCCGCACTGCAATGCCGACGAGCTTCCTGATTCGCAGCAAGGACGCTGTGGATTCTTGATTTCGTGTGTCCACCGCGAGTATGTTCAATCTCTTGTTGCTGCGAATTTCACCAACTTCGGTAGGGGCGTGACTATTTAGAGCCTCCGTGAGCTTCAGGCCGTTGAGCTTGTTCAGAAGTATCGTCGGGTCTTGCGGTGCGAAGATGACCGTCAGACCGAGTGAAACGATGGCTTTCTTTCTGCTTTCCTCGTCACTGGCGCTCTCGATCTTGCGCTTCCGTTTGCGTCCTGTCTTCACAGAAATGAAGTCCTCGTCATCCTTGTCCTCTGGGCCTGATGTACAGGGTGTCACAAAAGAAAGTTTACACGGTCTTTTTTACCGCAAAAATAAACTAGGCATCGCGGAACGCTCATTCACCGCCCAAAGGTAGAGCTAGAGGTCACAACCAGATGCCAAAGTTTCAGCCCGATCCGATAACTTAATCAAAAGCTATAAGTGATTTTCTGAAAATTTCAATGGGAAAATGGAGCCCATTTTCGCCCGTTTTCGGTTTCTGGTGCCATAGAGCCCCATGTGTTTGAAAACTCGGTCGGCCGCCATTTTCCCATTGAAATTTTCAGAAAATCATTTATAACTTTTGATTAAGTTATCAAATCGGGCTGAAACTTTGGCATCTGGTTGTGACCTCTAGCGCTACCTTAGGGCGGAGAATGAGCGTTCGGCGATGCCTAGTTTATTTTTGCGGTAAAAAAGACCGTGTAAATTTTCTTTTGTGACACCCATATAGTCATGTCAGAGTCAGAAGTGTTGTTGGAAGTTGAGTTGTCATGATTTCCTTTGCTGCCGTCCACGAGCTTGCCACTTGTCCCTGCTTCCGCAGGTTGTTGACCGTGGTCGAGATGACCGGCTGCCGTTGTGTTCGCACTGGTGTCGTTTTCCGCAATCACAATTGGGGGCCCCAGGTAGCACACCGCGTCGGCCGGTATCGGGACTACGCCGGCCGGTCCCGGTAACAGGATGGCGGCGCCCGGCCATTGGCGCCGGTGAGCTACCGGCCACGGCCGGCGTCGGGGTTTCCTCTTGCTCACTGGCCAGTTCCGCCGAAAAAGTTACAGTGACTGGCCGGCATCGGGTTTTTGCTGTCTTTGCTGGCCAGTCTTTCTATGGAGGTTCCAGTAACTGGCCGGCATTGGTATTTTGCTGTCTTTGATGGCCAGTATTTACATGGAAGTTCAGTGACTGGCCGGCATCGGCACTTTGCTGTCTTTGATGGCCAGTATTTACACGGAAGTTCAGTGACTGGCCGGCATCGGCGCTTTGCTGTTCAGGCTGGCGAGCCCCGCCATGGAAGTTCCGTTTACTGACCGACATCGTTTTATCTTTTTTTTTTTTGCCGTTTTTACTATGCAGTCAAGTCCTCCAGATTTTGACGAACTGTGGCAATTCATGAATAGCGAGTGGAAATATTTGCGTTGATCAATCCTTCGCAAATAACTGCCGACGCTGGTGTATTTGATCCCAGCATGGCAAGGCTGACGTGTTTTATCGCGAAAACGCGAGAAAAAATAATGCGGCGTGGAACATTTGCAGTTCAGGATTCGAGACTCTGACCACCTACGCTATGAAGAATAAATTACACAACACCGAACGACACCTTTTCAGGAAGCTAGTTTAATTTGATGCACTATACTTAAGGTCGGTGGTATACGCACGTGTTTGGCACTGATAAGAAAAATAAAATAAAAACGGTATAGCGGAGAATCCGAGTGAAGAACAACAACCACAATTAACAAACACGTGGCATGATTGAGCACGCGCTTTGAGTTACAAAAACAATCATTTGCATTACATTGCAGAATCTGGACAAGAAAAAAAGAGATGTGTGTTTTGCTTATGACGCTGCGAAATGTACACAGCTTTCCTGAGATCATGTTATTGGTGATTTTAATTGAGTGTGAAAATATGCTATTTCAGGCATGAATCGACTATTTTCTGTGGTAGCTACGACCATCTAACAGAAATATTTCAAATGTTCACATAGCCAGATGATCTGTCCCCGATAGCTTATGTTATACGACATACCGCACCAAAAAAAAAGTAAATATAAAAACATTTTTTTTAACACGATAAAACGGGAAACACAAAGGCGTTGTGGGTGTTTACACTGCCGGGTTTGTGAATGTGACCCCTTGGCGCTACAAAACATAAATGTTATCACACCGAACGATACCGTTTCTGAAAGCTAGTTTATTTATCCGCACTGTTCTTCGATCTCAGGAATAAAAACATTATAGGCCTAATAAAAAAGTAAAATTGCGGAGCAGAACCTCAATAAGTAAAACCAGGGGGCAGGCGATGGATATCCCTGATGTGCCAGAACAAAATTAAGTACTACTTTCCGGAAGTCAGAAAATTAAGAGATGTGCTCAATACGTAGCGCGCTATGAGCTCAGGTAAATAGGGAGTTTTCGTAGATCGTTTTCGCCGTCCCGCAAGGCCCTCCGCAATCCGCTACGATAGCGGGAACTCCACAGTCAAGGCTATCGGCGCGCAGGCGCAGTAGCAACTTCTTCGTTGCGGAACGCTTAGCGGAGGGGGCAACGCGGTCTACGAAAACCCCCTAATAACTGCCTTAAAATAGCGGTATTTTTGTTTTAATAGTGGCTAAAGGTGACCGCCTTCAGACAAACTTCGGCTGCATCACTGTGGCAGTTTGACCATTTACATACACATTTTTCCATTTTTCTCTCAATATTCTCATTATTATTAGCTTCTTTACTTCTTTGAAAGCACTTGCGCTGTTTGCGTACTACACCAACCAACCTATTAGCACGGAGGGAGCGATTTATCCCGGCAAACAGGAGGGCCACGGTTTGTGCATTGCATCAACTCAAATTTGGGCTCGCACTTTCTATTTTCACATTCTGCGTGACTTTTACCCTTTTAGGGGGCCGGCGACTGCAAAAAACACAGCAAATATTTAAAATAATAAAAACAAGAAAAAAACGCGATAAAAGAAAAATTAGAAAACTTTCTCTCTCGTAACGTAGTGGTCGGTGGTTCGAATCCCTCTATAGAGGGATTCGAACCACCGACCACTACGTTACGAGCAGGGTCGCTAAACTCGTCAAGCACAACTTTGTGTCCGAAAGTTGCGGAACGCGCTAATTGGACTCTCGCGCCGCTGACGTCGCGCCGAGCGAGGTGTCAATCATTCGAAGCAAAGTTCATCGAGGCGCGCGTGCGGCGCGTGAGGGGCGCGAGGAGCCCGCTGATTGAACGGCTTCGCCGATGACGTAGCGCCCATTTGTCCCTACATCCCTACGCCAAGCTAAAATCAATGCTTTGCAGATTGTCCCTAGGCGACCTGCTGACACTCAAAATCCCTCCGAAGTTTGTGTTAACAAGAAACCTCGTTTGTCGAAGTTGTCGCTGACGTCAAAGTGACGTTTCCGAACTTTGCGAGAGCCGCGGTTTGAGCTCGAGATCTTCGCTTCGGATCGAGGCGAAGTTAAACTTTGTCAACATGGCGGTGCCGTACGCTGCGGCCGAGCTTATCTTCCGCCACCGTCGGCGTCGCTACTGAGACCACTGGGGACGCCTTTCAACTCCCCGACGACGACTTTCGGCGACAGTACCGGCTATCCAAAGCTGTTGTGCGTTTACTCTGCGACGAGCTTCGTTCGCCGCCTCGGACCGGGAACAACAAGTTCTCTGCGCGCTCCGGTTCTTCGGAACCGGTAGCTTTCAAGGCATGGTGGCGACTGACGAGCACCTGTCAGTCTCCTACATGACTGTGAACCGGGCTGTCAGAGTTTTTGCGGCTGCCATCGCTTTTTTTTATTTTATTTTTTTCTGTAATATTCGAAGAGGTACTAATAAGCTGGTATACAATTCAGAATGTTGGAAAACAAACAAGAACCGGGGTAATCCTTGGGTAGGGTCGAGTCTCCCGGCGGCCGGCAGAATTATTTCCCCGAAATTCTACTGGCAGTCGCCACTCAGTGGCGGTCAAATCAGTTCATCGAACGACGTGTCATCGACAGATCGTCTCATCGGCACGCGATGTAATCACATGAAAGAGATTGTCTTCCGTTAGAGGTATATACGCATTAAGCATTTTCCCACCTTTAAACATGTAAGTGGGGTGTGCCATAACTAATACCCTAATGAGTGTAGCGATGGACCTTATAAAAAAATGTAAACTTCTCACCTTTAAAATTGTGTGATTTTTTAAACACGTTTCTTAAAACGTATGATAATGCCTACACCTTTTTATAAAGATGTAAAACTACAATACCCCTTCTCGTCAGGCACGCAGCAAAGGGGAGGGGGGGGGGGCATAAGGCCTGGCCTTCCCGCCCACCCCCCCCCCCCCCCTCCGAAATTTTCCATTTTGCTGGGACCTCCTCTCCTACCTCCCCCTCATAAAGCACTTTGTGATCGGCGCCCCCCCCCCCCCCCCCCTTTAACCGAAAATCTGGCTACGTGCCTGCTTCTCCTCAAGGTGTAATTACCACAGTACATTTCTTTTTAGGGGTGTACACAGTGGCCCGGGACCCATTAATATGACTGAACAAATAAATTACACAAACGAGTCGCCGAAACAGCACGTTCCCAAGCAGCACCAGTAAGTGAATTTCGATCGGCCGACGGTTGGCCAGTGTCTGGACAGCTTGGCCACTTTAAGTGCTTGGCCACCGGAGGCATAAACAAGGCCGGCAAGGGTCCGGCCACAAACTAGTTGTTTTTAGCTTGTCCGCCGGAGACATAAACACTGCCGGCAAGCGCCTGGCCAGAAGTGCTCATTTTCAGCTTGGCCGCCGGAGACATAAACACGGCCGGCAAGTGTTTGGCCAGCAGTGGTGATTTTCAGCTTGGCCGCCGGGGACATAAACACG